ACCTCGTAAATGAGCATTTTGCTCAAGGAATGAAGATAAACATTACGAGTGCATATGTTACTCTTTTTTCTTGAATTACATATATATTTATTTTTTTCCTCCATTGCGCCTTTTTTCACTAAAGCCCACATTTTAATTACGCTTCGTGCTTAAACCCCAATAGACTTGGATCGCTTTTTAGAGCTTTTCGCTTTTGGCAACACTGCCTTGGTTACCCATCTACTTCTCGTGCAAGTGTTAACACCTTTTCTTTTTGGTTGGGGTGAAGCAGGTGGTAAGAATTATTTCCCTCACTTATTTGAATTTAATGGAGGAACCGAAGTTAAGTGAACATGTTCGACATGACTCCATGTTTGCTATTAAATACTTGAGTAATCAGATTGAAACTCTTTACCTCTATACATTGCGCTAAATAGCATTAGGGAAAGAATAAATGATTAACCTGCAGGAAGCAAATTAATCATATCCTTTTTCCCTTCTTTTCCTTAACTTATACACAACAACAAATCAATGTTCCCGAAGTTATGTTAATATATTGAGTCCATATCTCCGTAGAAGTTCTTCAATTCTAGTATCTGTGTGCTGTTGTTGGAGTAGGCTTCTGGAGCACTTCGAGCAGCGGCTTCTCCTAGTGGGACTACTTCCTTTGATACTACAACAGCATCCCCCTTGCCACATGTCAACTCACCTAGGTCTAGTGCTAACATGATGAATACACCATCTCCTCAGCAGCAGAGCCTTCAGCAGCAGCAGCAACAACAACAGCAGCAGCAGCAACAGTTGCAGCAGCAGCAGCAGCAGCTCCAGCAGAGGCAGAAAATAATGCAGTTACCTCAGCATCAACAGCAACTTCTTGCCCAACAGCAGCTTAGGCAAGCCTCAATGCCTGGACTGGGACAGGTACGGGTTTGTACAACCATCTTGACTGGTTTAAGGTATCTCTTGCGTTATCCTATATGCTTGTTCCTTTTCGTCAATTTTTTTCTTTTTTGTTAATGACCAATTAAGCTAGCTTTTTTACTAACAAAATAACGCGATTACCGCGATTGCTAGCTGTATACAAGCGAGAACCGTATAGATCACTTGCTTTTGTTATCATCTTAAAAATCTGCGAGTTGCTTTGTGCTCTGAAAATACGATAAAAATAACAAAGAATGCTTTGTGTAGCATCAGATTTTCCGCTGCTCAAATATCTGTTGTATGCTTTAGATTGTCCAGTATATCGCATGTTGTATGCCTTCTGCCATTCTTTTTCTGCTTTTGCTGCCTTATCTAAGATCTCGAGCATTCCAAGCTCTCTTTAACATTGTAGATACCTATAAACAGCAGCCCCATAATTTATCAGCAAAAATACGGTTTATTAATAAATGGGCTACTTCTTATCCCCTTTACACTTAAAGGATCAACGCACTATGTGCCCGTTTTGGTTAGCTGATTGAAAGTAGCCGAAAAGTATAAAATGCTGAATAGCACTTCTATATGCTGAAACTAACTTTATGAATAAGTTGTTATGTGATTGGATAGAAGTGTTGAAACTGATTATAATCAGTTAGTGTATTTGGTAAAAAGGTGCTGATAAGCACTTTTTCTGTCTGAATGACTGAAAAGTCCTTAAAGATTTGTAAATATGCAAGTATTTTCACATTAAAAAAGATGAATGACGGAAATAGAATATAAAGATAATTAGGAGTTCTGTTTTAGGAATAGTATTTTGGAGATTACAAAAGATATTAGGAACAAAATGGTAAAAGGTTTGGTCAACCTAAAAGTGCTTATAAGCTGAAAAATCATAAGTTGGGGGTGACCAACTTATGGCTTTTGGCTGATTTTATCTTAGTGCCTGGCTTATTAGCACTTTTGGTGTTTACCAAACGTATGGATATGCCAAAAAGTGCTTATAGCTTATAAGCTTAGCCAAACACCCTTTATATCTTCTTTTGTTTCCTCCAATTGTCAACTGTGAGAATTGAATCCGAGGCAACTGTTCTCACAAAAATGCTACTTTTTTGGTCTTGACTCCTTATGACAACCCATAATGGATTTAACGGTGGGAGAGCCTGATGAATTACCTTCCAACTGCGAAACATCTCTCTCATACAAAAGCATAAAAATGTGATTCTAATTCTTTTCAGGGGGCAGGTTAGTTAAGTTCTTATCTAGATAGTAATTCTTTAGAGTAAGAACTTTTTAATCTTAAAAAAAAAACATGACAATATTGATTTTCTGCAAACCAGAAAATTATGGCGAACTGTATTTTTTTTTAATTTTTGGTGTAAAGAAACCTTTGTAGATGATGCAGAACCTTTACTTGACATGATTGATTCCTTGTAAGATAGAACAGAGGATACTGTATGGTTTTTTGAATTGTAAATATAGCGCCAGCACAGCCTTTATGCTGATATTAATACAATGTTACCATTTTCATAAAAAAACATTGATTTTCTGCACTCTTAATATGCTTACCATGAACGGATTTTTCAGACTGAATGTAATCATTATCCTATTTGGTAATAGTATATTAGTTTCTTATTTGGTGGACGGTATGGAGAGAAAGGAATAGTAGATGTTTTGAGGACAAAAGTAGTTCCATTCAAAGAATTAAGCTGAATCGTTTTTTTTCTTTTCACTTCTGGTGTAAAGAGAACTATATGGATGATGCAGAATCACTTGTAGATTTCTTTCATTCCTTGTAAGATGCAAGGCTCCCTGTAATCTTTGCATTTTTTTCTTTTGAATACCAATACCAACTTGGTGCTGATGAATACTATGTTACCTTACTTTGAAATAGTATATTAGTTTCTGTAGTTCATTACATTGGACAATATGTAATAACTAAGAGCCTGTTTATTAGCTGCATGGTCAGCCTCAGATGCAGTTCTCTCAGCCACTGGGAGCACAGCAGTTTCAGGGTAGGCAGCTAGCATCTGGTGCCATTCATCATGGTATGGGTCAAAGTCAGCTCAACCAAGCAAATCAGCTGAATCGACATCTAAACCAGTTTTCTAGTCCTATGAATACTGCACTATTCAATTCTGCCCAAAGTACACCTAACTCTCAGATGGTGAGTCACAAATTTCAGTTTTTATTTTATTTGCTTCTTCATTAGGCAGCCTATCGGTAATGAATTATTTGCTTTTTCTGATAGTTTTGAGTTCAAATTCACCGGATTCTGCTGTTTTCTGCCTATTTAAATTAATGTGTTTATTCTGTTTTCTTACTGTGGAAGTTGCAGAAGTGAAGAATGAATTAAATCTTTTAACTGATGTGCTATGTGCTCTTGTTCTATTTCCTGGTAGACTAGATATGTCTAATGAAGTGACATACTTATTCCGATTGCCTCTTATGTGCATTAGGTGACATTTACTTGTATTTTTCAACAGCATGTTGGTGCAGATGAACTTTCTTTCTAATTCTTACTGCGCATTCTACCAACTAAGACATCTTCATATACAGTTCCTATTGGGTTTAACTGCAAGTTGTTTATCACATGCATTGAGCTGGTATTTCACATACTGAAGATTTCGGGGATCTTTGAAATTGACGGTTCTAACTAAATATTTGTTGCATTGAAGCAGTTACAAAAGTTATAGAAAATTTTCATATCTATTTGGTTGCAACCCAGTTTGTCAACTAGGTTTTTCCCTCAGAAGGCACTCATTGTTGTACAGCAGTACAGCACATGCTATGAGGTTATTAATTAGCTCAGCTGTGTGTCTATTTCTCCCCTATGACATAGATATAGCTAACTTCCTCAGTATACATGCTAATGCAATGCTCATCTGGTCTGTTCTGTGTCATGCTTCATTAGATCTTTTGATTATTTGCTGTTCATTGCTTTATTGTGTGTTTTGTTGATGAACCCGTTCAGTCAGTACGCATCATAATTTCTCAAAGTGTCCTGCATTCTTTTCTTGACCTTAAAATTTCAAATATCCAGTCTGCTTCGAATCATGTTAAACTTATTCTGTATGGCAGATCTCGAATATGTCAGCAATGATGACATCGCAAACTCTACCGCCAAGAATGCAGGTGTGTCAAAATATATTACCTATTGCTTTCGTCATGCATGTTGGAGTTATTAGGTCTATTTATAATTATAGTTCATGACGAGGTGAACTTAGTGCCTTCTCTGAGTGTAAAGAGCGATCCTGATGTCTTTATTTAGAGTGTTGATTGGAATTTTCTATTTTATCGGCATTATACACCTCAAATATTTTTTGAGATTCTGTCTTGACTGTGAATTTGCTGTAAATTGATGGGAAGCAGCTTCCCTGTGCTGCCAACTTGTGTGAGCTAAGTATAATCTTTTCGTTGCATTTAACTTACATTTCTTGAAGTTGACCATATATGATTAAGGATGTATGTTACTCTTTCACATGGTCGAGGACATTTTGTATTTCCAATATGAGAGTTATGCTTTTGAAAGTCATTTGCATGGGAATAACCTAATTCTTACACGTTTCTTTTTTATTATGTTGCCGATTATTTTATGGCCTCATATTACTACTTTCAGTTTGGAATATCTGGTGGAACTCGGAATCTTGCTGCTGCAAACCTGAGTGATCAAAGTAAAAGCGCCTCCTTTGCTCATCTTTCTTATAGTTCTGTTCAAATGGATTTTTCTTCCTTTTTAGCCCGACGAGAAAATGTTGTCAACCAAATAAAAGTGCAGCTTGTTTCTAGTTGCAAAACATTTCCCTAAACAGGGATGTCGTTTTCTCTGCAGTGTTCAATATGGGTGGAAACAATCCTGGTATGATGCCAATCCAACAACAGCAGCAGCATGGCACATTTGGAAACATGTCGCAAAATACACAGAATCTGCAGCAGGGTATGATGCCTCTTCAGAACACGCCTCAGACCCACCCTTCCTTTCAGCAACAAAGACCACAGGGCCAACAGTGAAGTGTCTAAAATTAGAAGGAAGAGGATATGCATACCAAACCTCTAACTTTTCGTATTGCTTAGTACTGACCTCGATACAGTATTCCAATGCCAGGTTGTTGCAGTAAATTTTTATTACGTAAACATAACATTTGTTGAAAGAAGATTGTATAATTACATGCTTTGTACATTATTCAGAACTAAATGTAAATCAGATGGTCATGCCATCAGCACTTATTTGCTATTCCACATCTTTCTTACACATTCCTTGTACCGCGTTCTTCCCTTATACCTAAACCAGAAGCTATAGTTGGAGTCTCAATTTGAGATGATAAGAATGGGATCCAGATGAAGCGAAGGAAATACTACATTTTCCCTTAAATTCCAAAATACTTGTTCAATAACAGGGGATTTTTTCGTGAAATACCTTTACTGAGGATCATGGTTCCTATAAAGCCATTTGAGCACTGGCTCCTGCAAGTTCCGTCTGGCTTTGCTTTTTCCCTCATATAGTCATTGTCTTCAACCCTTTTCTGGCTGTAAAAGAAGTGCAACATCTATGAAGGAACCATTTCAGCCTGCATATTCTCCATAGTTCGAGGGGTACAGACAAAACAAAATAAAAAAATTTAAAAAGGCAAAAGAGTAACAATTCTAGCTTTTAAAGGTAATAAGATACATGGCAAACACCATCCATAGGTGAAAGAAATGAAAGGCAGAGCACTAACAAGGGAAAGGAGCTTGCTTACAAGTCTAAAAGACAGGAGCATGTGGAATGGAGTTCATGATGTGGTTGGAGTTGGCGATCCACGGAAAAAGGCGGTGCAGGAGACGTCGGGTGGAGGATATCTGTATGAGGGGAGGGGGGTGGTGAGAATGGTGGGGAAGGAGAAGGAGATGAAGAGAAATAGTAGGGGAAATGTGCAGGTCCTACACTCACAGGCAGTGGGGATTGTGGAGTTGGAGGTGACGACGAGGGACTCGCATAACCACTAACCATTTTGAGTTTTTCCTCCTCCCCCGCTATGGCCATTGTGTGTGTCTGTATTTTGAAGACTCAGCTTTGAATTGTAGGTAAAACCAAACGGTCACTAACACTCACATATGGAGCCTTATCCCGCCATGTATAAAAATGCACATATTCCAGACCTGACTTCCCAACAACCAATCCACTTTGTATGAGAGTTCCTTTGTATTAGTAGGTGTAATCCCTCTGGTCAAACGGTCAGAAAGAATCCCGCTATTTAAGTTAATTCCTTCCATTGTTATTTGCGAATACAAGAAGTTTGCTTCCCTCTGTGATATAATATATAAGGAAGAAAAGAGGGAGCTGGAGGTTAGGGTAATAATGGGCCGCACACTATCTATTGGTTCTCTAATCTCTGTTAGAGTATTTGGGCATTTCCACACTTACAGAGTTAATGTGCAAGGGAGTTAACAGACTTCTTTATAAGTTCTTGTTGGACTTTTGTCTCCAGTTATATTGTATTTCCTCATATAGCATATTTGTGCATGCAACTAGCTGTGAATACACCTTTCTGTAGGCTCTACGCATATCTTTTAACATCATGAACAGATTCAGAGCTATACATCAGGTAGATGATCATTAATACATTATAACTAGTCCAGATTTACAACTCCTGGATCATTAAAGAAGCAAGAATCTACATAACATTAAACGGTGCTCAAGTATGTTCATAAGCACATAAAAAGTAATTGGCACTTTTACAAAGCTGAATCTTCGAATAAGAAGACGGTCAACAGAAATTACTACCATTACAACAATACGAGAGGATCTAATAAACCACACACCATATACAACTGAAACCAGGAGAATGCTGTACCTTGCTCCCTCTTAGAGATGCTTGATAGGTTTCCCATACTTAACAGATATCCTAACATGTCAATGGGACAGTCAGCGGAGAACCAGGCTAGTATTTCTTACGCACAAGCAGTGAATAGATGCACTTTTCTGCACATAAAATTTTTCCCATACATAAACATGCATCTGCTTTAAATTTGCCACTTAGTAATTTCTCTTCTTGCATAGAAACTCTATTAAATGATCTCCGCAATAAGTTTCTGAAGGGCTTCATTTGTAAGAGGAATACACAAGCAATCTTGACCATCCGAATTCCTTTTGGTTTTGATCAACTCATGGTCCTTAAATTCTGTCAGATGTGAATTCAAAGTAACTTGACTACTCACTAGGAACCGTTCTCGGCTTGTAGTGTACAAATTATTGATTGGCATCCCTGAGAAGAACAATGTCCAATTTAAATGAATGATAGATCTATTGCATTCAACAAACATGGAAATGGAAATAGAAATGGGGGAAACGAACGTATGAAAGAACTTGCCTTCTTCATCAGAATGGGCTAATTGATGCTCCGCAAGAACTTTAAAAACATTTTGAGCATTTGGTGTCAGACTCTGTAAGACAATTGAAGCTGTCTTCACACTTTGAGCAGTGCCCCCATGAGCGAGAATGAAAGGAAAAAACATTGCTTCAGCCTTGTATGGAGCAAAAGTAGGAACATGGCACCAATACCAGTTAAACTGTGTATGAACCATCTTCTTATCCCACACTAGTATATATGACATAGCCAACGTAGTAAATGTCAGACCTTTTTCAATGTGACATGCACATAATAAATATAAGAGTTCTAATACCAGGTGTTAAGAGAGATACTAAGGAATGATCAGAATTTGACATTTCAGCATCAGATGGTACAGTTAAGGTGATATATATTTACAGTCAAGCAGCAATTAGCAAAAGGCAGTAATACCTAGTAATTCTTAAACCAGGTAAAATTAGCAAAAGGCACAAATACATGCAAACTACGGAAAAGGACTTCATAAAACGCTCCCTTACACCTCTAGACATCCTCTATTATGCATACGTCCAATCATTTACATGCTCACACACGCGTGCAGAAAACACTTACAAAGAGGAGCATTGACATGGTCAATGGAAGCAACCATACGGACATGAGAACAAGCAGCGATACTAGCAAGACATTGTTGGCTGTCAGAATCACGCAATCCAGGACCATCAATGTTATGAACAATGATGCAAACAAAACACTCATCTCCTAGATCTGGTTTGTCTAGAAAAGCAAGAAGGTCGTCCATGGATTTGGGGTTAAATGGTTGTTGGATTTTAGACGGATTTCCAGAGGTTGTCTTTCTTCGCAATTTTAATTGATCCCAAAGGAGCTCAGCTAGTGTTATCACTACCTGCAATAAAACATCAACAATAGCAGATCTCTTAGTATTACTAGAATGATTTTGTGCCAGCAACCCGTGTATTGTGCATCTCATGCGTATCTTATCATAAAATATCATAAAAGAGGGGGTGCTCATAACTGCAATAATTGTTGATATTAAGAAGTATAATAAATTAAAAAAGGAAATTACTATTGTTATATCAAGACCCAGGCACAAGGAATCAAATGAACTGTGTCAAAAATATGTGTTTCAAGTATTGATAGCCTCCATAACACCAAGTAAATTGTGACAAGAAGGTGCTTCCGGGACTTAAAGGCAAGTTCTATAAAGCGGTGGTAAGACCAACCATGTTGTATGGTGCAGAGTGCGGACAGTCAAGAATTCCATATCCAAAAGATGAAAGTTGCATGAATGAGGATGTTGAGATGGATGTGCGGGCACACTAGGCTGGATAAGATTAGGATATCCGAGTGAAGGTGGACGTGGCTCCCATGGAAGACAAGATGCGGGAAGCTAGGCTTAGATGGTTTGGGCACGTGCGGAGGAGAAGCCTGGATGCCCCGGTAAGGAGGTGTGAACGGCTGACCTTAACGGGTATGAGAAAAGGTAGAGGCGGCCTAAGAAGTATTGGGGAGAGTTGATCAGGCAGGACATGGGGCGGCTGCAGATTTACGAGGACATGGCCCTTGATAGGAAGTTGTGGAGGTCGAACATTAGGGTTGTAGGTTAGGAGATAGGAGGCTAGTCTGATAATGTTGTGTTTTACGCTGCTAGTGGCTCCAGTTGCGTCCTTAGTACTTCATTAGGGTTGTAGGTTAGGTTGTAGTAAGCTAGTCTATTTGTCTTAGGATGTTAGTGGCTCTTGTTTTATCCACATTACTCCATTGCGTCTGTAGTACTGTGCCTTTATTACTGCTTAGTGTTATTGCTTTCCTCTCTATTTCTTGGTTATTGTGTTATTGGTGTTATCTTTTCTGGTTTCTTTTGCTGTTACTGCGCATAGTCTCGTTCCATCTTCTTGTGCCGAGGGTCTATCGGAAACAGCCTCTCTACTACTCCGGAGTAGGGGTAAGGTCTGCGTACACACTACCCTTCCCCGACCCCACTTGTGGGATTTCACTGGGTTGTTGTTGAAGTCTGGGCATAAAATCATATTGGACCAGCAAATGTGAAATCTTCAGTTATTGCCCTCTCATTAAATCCAGTGGCACAGCCTTGGTATGTACCAGATAACAACTAAACTTCAAAAATTATCACTGCTAACTTAAAAATCCATGTCAGCGAGCATGTGCTGCACTAAAGGAGGAAGTTTGCAACTAAACAGCATAGCTCCATAAGCAAAAGCTCCTGTCATTATCAGTGTTCTTGTAGTAATCTGTCTAACCCAAAAACACGGGCATATAACTTTGTTTTTCAGAAAATTTGCAAAGTGGAAGATCCTGGCTTTGAGACTTTCTACACCAAAATTATTTTCTAAAACAAGGGTACCAAGCAAGCAGCACTTTTAAACAAGAAAACAATAGGGTGAATACCTGTTTAAGATTTATAGATTGGAGATACCCATTGACGACAACAACAGAATACTCAGTTAAAGATCTTGTGGCAAAATCTTCAATCAAAGCTTTCTTTGATCCAAAGCCATACATCAAAAGTGCAAAACCACACCTATCAGAGTAGTAAAGAATTGGAAAGGAAAACCTTCCAGGTTTACATTTGATAGCAAATGAATACAAGGCAAATAAAAAACTTATCGAAAAAGCATATCGTGGAGTAAACCTATACATCACGACACAGACCTTAGCACGAAAAGCCATTCTGAAAACAAACTTTTGTAGCTATTGATCAAATCATTTACTTCTTTCTCATGTTTGGGCTCAATATTAGCTGCCACCTCTCTTAATTCCTGCATTCAACAATCATCATTGTGGACTCTCAGTAAGAAGAATTATAACTGGAACTTTATCCATTATGCATTGGTCAGGAAAGATTAAAACATGTATCAGGGGCACAACCATGTACAGCAAGTGTAATTTGGAAAATGCATATTACCCCTCATCTTCGAGGGTATTGTCCACTGACCCTTTGTTGATATCAGGGGCGGACCCACATGGGGTCAAAGAGGGTTCATATGAACCCGCTTCGTCGAAAAATAATACTGTATATATAAGTAAATTTTATCTTTCTAAGAAAATCTTATGTATAAATTTTTTTTTGAACCCGCTTGAAACAATCACGACGCTTAGCCTGCTGGCAAAGTGTGTTCAAGTTTTCCACAAGGTCTTGAGTAACCAGTCAGAACTCTCCTTTTTTTAATATACAGTTTTCCTATTTAAATCTTCGCTGCCTCTCTCTCTCTGTTGAATCTTTTAGTTCAATTTCAAGGTCACATTGCTTCCTTCCATAGCCGTCACCTGCCATTAGCAACTATCGCTTCGTGTTGGTTGTCGCCTCTCTCACCGTCAAGTCAGCAGTATATACAATTGGACAATTTTTAAAAAGAAGTAATCTACATTAAGTTTGCATCCCCTATTGGGAGCAATGGTACTTCACACAGTCCACCTTGGTTGAGATCTAGCAACTAATAATATAAGCAGTTGAGAAAATATGGAAAGCAAACATAGACCTCTTCGTCCACAAGATCGATTTCAGAGAGCTTACGAACTGATTTTTTTCGTGAAGAGCCCACTTCTTTAGCAAGAAAATAGTTTCTTGAGAACCCAAACTCCTCTTCCTCAATCTCATCCGCATTCATTTCCTCCAACTCAGAGAATCTCAAACACTAAGACTTTGTTCAGCTAACAAGCACAATCT